ATGAAGGTTACTGAAGGCATTGCCCCTACAGAGGATGTAGAGGATGCATTTAGTTTACCCAAGTTCTCATCACTATTGGGAGGGAGCAGGTTCCACCCATTGTCTGCTGCCCAGAATGAGGAAGATACCAGAAAGATTGATGTTACACCACCTCATCCTTTCCACTATGAGGGTCAAAGGGAGAAGAAGATGAAGGCTCCACTAATTGCTCGATTACAGACTATAATCGAGAGGCTAGCAGTAAAGAAAAATTGTTCAGTCCCTGATAATCTTAGAAGGATGGAAGAGTACCTGTTAAGGCTTGCCTCGGGCCGAGACTAGTTCCACAAGAGAAACCATTCCACAAAAAAAGTATCAAGTAGAGATGATGATCGTTTACTGTAGTATCTAGTCCACATCATAGGGCTGGCACTACTCATCAACGTGTTGGTACTGCCGACAAGCCATCCGACCCTAGGCTATCGACACACAAAGAGATTGTGTGGAAACCTAAAATTGTTGGGTCGGTAACTACTGGTAGGATCAAAGTTAGAAGTTCTGAGGAGAATCTTGAACCTGAAGAGATCATTGTTACCTCGGAGGAGAAGATTCATCAGACATTGCCAGTGGACCTTAAGAACATTAAGGGAAGTTTGATTGAAGTAACGTTGGAGAAACTGAAGATAGATCTCAAGCAATTGTCCCATGAAAGGATGAATGAGTCCAATGATGATGAAAATGATGATTTGACTGATTACATGGAAGAGGATTCTGCTGAAGTGAATGTGGTTGAGACCCGAGCATCATCATCTTTGTTAGAGGCTCAGCCACTCGTAGAAGAAGATGACCCAGAGGCATTAAAAAGGCTCATTCAGTAGAAGGACGAAATGATCGACGTCATGGAAAAGAGAATGGAAGTGATGATGGTTGTCATAGCCTTGCTTCAGAGCCAACCTAAACCGCCGAAGGAACCGCCTGTGGAAGTTGTCCAGATCATGGATTGAAGAAAAGAATTCACCTCTGTCAATAGAGAAGAACAACCGAAGAAGGATTATTTCCAAAGTCTGATACCAAAAAAGGATATTAAGCTGGTAGTAGAACAACATGTGCAAGAGGCCCTAACCCAACCTAAAGGAGGGGCATTGATATTGAGGGGTAGACCTTATTCCGAAGGTTTGATGTCATTAAATATCCTAAAGGCTTCGTGCCACCTCTGTTTAAGACATTTGATGGGAAAGAAAACCCCCCCGCGCAAGTTGTTGCAACGCGGGGGGCAGTGATGCTTTGTTGTTTCGCCAGTTTGTTAGCAGCCTCTCCGGAGATGCCTTCGATTGGTACGTGGAGCTGCCAAATGGTTCGGTGAAAAAAGATACGTAGTTAGCATGATTAGACATTCCTTTATAAGATTCCAAAAATAGAATCAATTTTCGTAGCACTTCGTCTTTTGCATTCTCTCTAAAAAATGCATTCTCCAACGATCTTGTAATTGTTCTTCTTCTTCTAGCTCCTTCATTTGGGATGTGGAACTCATCTTTGTCTTTCTTCTTCCAGCCTTGCTCCAAGAGCCCTTCTAAGTCATGCTCTTAGTAGATCATGCCTAGGCGGCTCCTACCTTGGAGGTTCTTATCTCGACGCTTCTCGTTTATGATTTCTGATACCAATGATCTTATGTTCATTCTGAAACAAGCCCCACAATGATCTAGAGACAACTTGTCTTGTTTCCTATATCACCTTTAACAAATTTTCCTTTAGTTGATTAATTTGTTACACTGCTAACTCTCTGATGTAATCCATCATTTTTCTTTATTCTTCCTTACGCTAGAAGCATCTTCATACTGAGTTTGGGTATGAACTCTACGCTCATCATACCTTTTGGGAGGTTGAATCCATTTAGGTTGTAGGTGTGGAAGAAAGGTCACACAACTCGAGAGAGATCCTATTTTTTGGACAAAAGTGTGAGAATGTGGTGGATGTGTTGCAAGAGCTCAAGTTCTTGACTTCTCCCCTGAATCTCCAAGGAAATGAGTACAATGTTGAGGAATGGTTTCTAATAGGAAGAGGAAACTTGGATCAGATTCATCAATCTTCAGATCCCCCCTCTCCTCTTTTCCTTGCTTCTATTATATAACGAGAAATAAAAGAATTATAAAATTACATTTCGTACAATGTTGTGCATGTCCACAATATCTTGATGAAAAGACTGCGAAGTGGATGTAAGACATCACTTTAAATAAAGATAGACACATGCCATTTTATATAATGATGATCTTCTCTGGTAGCTTATTCATCTCGGATTAGATCAACCACTTCGGCAAGTTGACTCAACTCAACCACTTTAGCCAGCGGGCTCAATTCAACTACTTCAGCAGATGAGCTCAACTCGACTTCTTCAGCTAGCAGACTCAGTTGGATCACTTCAAATATGGGCCTTCGAAGTCCATAAGGTCTGTTACCTCTAAAAATTTTTTTTAAAGCATATGATCGTATTTGGGCATACAGGAAATTTAAGTACGTAACACATAATTCTTAGGTGTTTACATATCTCAAACGTAAATTCGTATATTTATATATAAAGCTCTTTGATGTTTTAAAACTTTGTATGGAAGTGTGTAATTTACTTTTAAAATGTGATAATAATGATATTTTTTATGTGTGATATTAAAGATTTAAATATAAAAGTTTAGATAAAATATATAAATAAATAAATAAATTGTGAGCTATGTTTGTAAATTGCTCTTGAGTATTTGGAGGAATACTTCTCCAACCTACCAAAACTAAATTTTTCCCAAGCATTCATTTCATAAGAATAGGGTATTTCGTTGAAATGTAGATTTTGAATAATTTAGAAAAGACTGCAACGATAGGGCGGGTTTAGATAAGCTAAATAAAAATGAGTTGAATAAATAGTTCTCATTTTTAAATTTATAAAGAGAATATCATCCATCACTCAAATTGAATATAGCAAACTCTGCATGACCGTTTGACTTTTTTCCTTTTTTTTTAGTGTTATTATTATTATTATTATTTTTTTTTTTGGGATTACGCAAATACGAGATTTCTCTTTTATCGAATTTGACAGTCATAATTCCGTTAAATGCGTTTTGGCCAGCTTGTGAGTTTCAGGACAGTGTAAGAATGAAACCGCATTTCCGGATAAGCAGACAAAACACGTGATCCAAACGGCATC